GACTCCTATAACTTCCCTAGTAAAACTAACTGCATGCATACATATTACGTGTCCCATGACACTCCTTTTCTTACATAATTAAATAATAAATAAAACATAAAATTAATCCATTTTTTTTGACATTTAACTATTCCAACATATATAACTGTAACGATTGTTAACCAAATTAGGCTGCATACTTCATATATTGGACTTTGGAAAGAAGTTAGTAGTAACCTATTCAAGTCTACATGTGTTTTCACTATCGCCAATATCAAGTAATAAAGTGGTCGAAGTATCGAGAATCGTATTCTAGGGATAGGATTCTCAAGTTGCAAGATCTCAAGGTGAGAAACTAACTTTAGATGGTGAAACTGAAGAAATGTTTGGGTTTTTAGTTTTAAAAAAAAAAGTAAACACTAAACAGATAGCAATGGTGCTAGGTTCGACTGAGACAAACAAATAGTCAGCGAGAGGATGTTGCTATAGCAGTAACTCATATCATCAAACAATTGACTCAAGGGCACCCTCTCAAGTTTGAGAACGACACTCATCCATACTCGGGCTTTCATATCTCTATGTAAAGGCAAAGAACTATGTATGGCACAATCTTTCCCCTTGTAGTCACATGGAACGAAAATAGATCTCTTTGCATCCATGCCATTCAAGTTGATATGTTCAAGATGATACATCTGTAAATCCGTCACACTTCAACATTTTTAACAATGATCAACTAGTCAATAGATGTTATGTTATCAATATAACCTTGAACGAAAAGATGGAGATAATTGTTATTGAAGAACAACCTCTACCTTCATATGGATTTAATCCTCAATATCCCCTCACACCTTAGCTAAGGCTCTTAACTTATCATAGCAAAGCTTCGGAACAAATTAAAGACATGAACATAAAGCAACTGAATGAAATTAAGACAATAAGAGTAAGATCAAGGATAAGTAAATGAAATTAGAAACATGAATTGCAAGAAATGTAAATTTCACTAGAAAGTTAGAAATTAAAAACTACACTACTTTACATCTAAAAACTACTCTAAGAATTTCTTTAAAACTACTTGCTTTCACTAGGGAGATCACCTCCCTAATATACTCAAAATGGAGATAGTGCACAATAGGTAGAAACCGACAAAAGGTACAAAAGTCAATACCCCACGGAATACACACTCACGTACAAAAGGGACATGCTTCCTTTAACTCAATATATTTGTACTTCTTTCTAGCAAAAGAAGCCTCCATGGCTAGATTTTTTGCACTCCAGGCATGGGAAAAATCCACAAAAATCTTCTTCAATCCCTTCTATTTTTTTTTCTCAAACACCACAAAATCAAGCTACTACAATGCTATAGCACTTGACTGTTGTTGCTGCTGATGCTGTAGCAATCACGTTGCTTCAGCAGGTTCTCAATTTTTAGTCCAAAAGTCACCTGAACATATTTTTTACTTCCAAACTCGAAAAACAAGAAAGACATAAAAGAATAACAAAAAAGGAATCAAATAATCCATTTAAGGATGTAAAATACAAGGAAAAGTGCGGGCAAATGATGCTCATCAACATGAATCATACACATCAATGACACATAAGGCCGTCACACTCATGAATAAAAAAATAGTTTTTAATTTTATGAAGGAAAAAGTTGAGGATGGTTTTAGCATTGAAGCAAGAGTTGGTCGGTTTTCTAAGAAAATTCTTGAGAAAGTAAAAATTATATTAAATTTTAGAGAGAGAAATTATAGTTGTCGTTTATTTAGTTATACCGATTTTATTATGTATATTAATATTTGATATGTTGAATGTTATTCAGTCAAGTGATCAGCATGTTGATCTGAATTTTCGAGGAATCAATTACTCTGCTGATGTATACTTGAATGGACACCAAACCGTCTTGCCAAAGGGGATGTTTCGTAGGCATTCAGTTGATGTGACTGATATTCTTCATCCTGATGGTGAAAATATGCTTGCAGTTCTGGTTCACCCGCCTGATCATCCTGGTACCATTCCTCCACAGGGAGGCCAAGGGGGTGATCATGAGGTAAGATGAATATCTTGAGTGATTACCTCCAAATTCATAGAAGCAAAAACTAAATTTGATGACAACAATTATCTTGCACGGTTGGTAAAATGAAATAAAGTAAAAGCTCTTGATAGATATTGGATGTAGATGACATCATTAGTTCAGGAATTTGAGAAGAAATATTGTTCTTTCAATGTTCCCTTGACATCACCCATTTAGTGAATTTCAAGCTCTAATTACTAGCTCCTCTAGTCGGCAACCATCACAATTCTCCACCCTAACACCCCCACAATTTGAGAAGAAATATTGTTCTTTCAATGTTCCCTTGACATCACCCATTTAGTGAATTTCAAGCTCTAATTACTAGCTCCTCTAGTGGGCAACCATTACAATTCTCCATCCAACACCCCCAAAGGAAAAAAAGAAAGAAAAGGTAGCACAACATTTCGGTCCTCCTTAGTAACTAGGGTACAACCAACATTTATAGGCAGCCACCAATCTTGTAGTGTGACCGGCTTTACCATAAAACAAGGGGATAATTGGCTTTCATCTCTTTTATCTTTAAAACCTTTTATTTTGGACACCCTAGTTAGTAGTTAGCATTTTTGCTATGTTCCACTAAATGGGCTTTTCTCCATTTTGGAAATTTATATTCAGGGGATTTGTTAGTGATCAATCATTGATTGTACGTTAAAACCCTTGATCAAAGGCAACTTACAGACTTCCGAACCCTATTCCCGTCCTTTTAAAATCCACGATTGTTACTGCCGGCCAACCACTGTTGATAGTCACACATGACCAAATCAAGATGGTTTATGTGCTTTTTGTTCACAACTTGGGCATACTTCAGTGTTTGCTCACCAAGTTTGATATACAAATAGGCAAGTTAAAAAAAACTTGTGATACCCTAGGATGGTCAAATCATCTATTGAAATAAAGACATGACAATATAAGGTCTACTGGCACATAATTGCTGTAGAAGCATAAACACTAAATCAGGCACATCATGTTAGTTGCTATTTGTTTTTTCTTTCTATGAAGACCTGTCTGGACTAAGATTGACTTAATGTGGACGACATATACATGGATAAACTTATCCTACTCGGCCAAATCCAGCTATTGCTTGAAAATAAGCCAAAAACGCTGTTTCTTGGCTGAGGATAAGCCATTAAACTCGTTAAGCTGATTAAGAAAAAAACTAACAGGCCCTTACTTGGGTATATGCACATTCATTTATTATCCTTATCTCAAAGACTGATGCTGATAACCTAATGTGTTCTTGCCAGATCGGAAAAGATGTTGCCACACAATATGTTGAGGGTTGGGATTGGATGGCTCCCATCAGGTAAGAACATCAATCTTCTGAGTGATCAAAACTTGCTGGGTTTTTTCTTGCTTAATTACATTTCCTCTCCAAATGATTTTATTTGAAAAGTTGTGTATCCTCTTGTTTTAATTATTATTCATTTATTGTTATTATTGTTTTGGAGTTCCTTGAACTGCAGAAGTTTGACAGTTCACTAACCAAAAATGTTTCTACACTTCATATGAAGATTTTCTGGTTTATTCCTTAAGTAAGTTAAATGTCTCAGCCTCTGATTTATGAATTTGCAGTATCCTCGTATAATCTCACTCTTGGTTGTGTTATCTTTATTAAAGTCTTATATGAGAAGTAATAGAGGTTGTCCATAGAAATCAACTTCAATTCTTGCTAAGGTTGTCTCTATGTTGATTTTCAATCTGAAGGGAGACTAAGAGCAACTTCAAAGCAGCTCGTCGGGAACTTCTAGTCAATTGTTTGTTAAACTATATTCGTGTTTAAAATTGTTCTACTAACGAAGAGAACCAAAAAGATTATTTTGGTAGAGTGAGAGAGTGATGGTTAGCAAGAGGTGCCAACACATGAATCTTAGAGTCCATTTGGTTTGTAGGAATGGAAAGGATTTTTGGGGGGGATTTGGAATTCAAATCCATTCCAATCCTTGTTTGGCTTGTAGGATTGCTCGGATTTGAGATCTCTCGAATATAGGATTTTCAAATTCCACGGGGGTTGCTGGGATTTCACAGGATTTCGTAGGATTTGTTTGTTATAATGTTTAAAAATACGGTAAAAACATTTGTTTTCTAATGATCAATTATAAAAAGGTAATTTAATTATTTTTGTATTTTTTATAATTTTTTTATAAATAATGGAATTCAATTGCATTCTAAATCCTACAACCGAACACATCAAAAATTCCAAATCCTTCCAAATCCAAATCCCTCCAATTCCAAATCCTTCCACGAAATCCAGATCCCTCAAAACCATTCCATCAAACCAAACACCCCCTTAGTTATTCCAAGGGGAATAATACATACTAAATTTTGCTCTATGTATACGCTATCATCAATTGATGTATTGCTTCGAGATCTGTTACTATAATATATTTGGTTCCTGGCAATCACTGTTCTTGTACAACCATCTATGGTATATCTTGTCAGATGAGGGGTCACGATACAAAATTTAAGGGAACATCTCCCTCTTCATTGCATCCTCTCAATTTGTTGTATCTATAGATCTTAGTCCAATAAGAGAATTAATATTTGATTCAATAATGTACATCTTTGAAACCATCAAAATAAGATGGAGCATAGAAGGAAAGATCAATTTGGGAAAAAAGGGGTGCGAGTTTGTAGAGTGTGTCATGAAACTCTAGATGGGGATATGAAGACAACCTATTATTACGGAAGGAGCTATTTTGGTGAGGTCCCAAAAAACATGCCGGCCAACAACTACCCAATGGAAATTGCAACTAGGAAAATGGTATTCTATTTGGTGAGGGGGTGCTGATCTACTGGCTTATCTAACCATCAGCTCAACCTGTTGATGACCACATTCAGAAATCCAAATCAACAACAACCCACCTTTTCTCCAGCCTAGTATACACCTTCACATTTATTCACGCTTTTTCCACCTCACCTGGCACTCTCGTCTAACCAAGTTTATATGGCTGGAAGGACAAAAAGCCTATTTGAGGGTTGCAACATTAAAATCTGAGGTGTATATTTTAGACATTAGGCATGGGGCTTGCCAGTAAGAGGAATGATTTCCAACATTTTTTAAGCAGTATGTGGCTATTCCAAAGCTTAAAGAAGTTCCTTTCTCTTAGTATCTCACATCAGCTTTAGGCTCTTTTAAAGTGCTGGGGTGCATGAGTTGCCTCCATTTAAGTCATCCTTGTTATGATTTTCAATTTTTATTTAATCAGAAGGTACTGGATTGGTTTCCGTTAAATCATTTAGTGACGGGTTATCTATTTATTTACTGGGCTGTTTGGCAGTTTCCGAATGGTTTGGTGTAGGATGTGTAGGTAAACAAATTGGTGGAAATATTGTGTGCTGATTATTAGGAATCAATGATTTTATTTATACTCCCTCCATAGATAGAATGATTTGTTGTATAGTTTCTTTTTTTCTCTTTGGTAATTTATTTGGTAGGATCTCTTTTCTTTGTGTATATAAATGGGTGTATCATTCTCTTCAAATGAATATAGAGAAAATTATTCCCAACTATCTTTGCTACATGGTATCAGAGCTTAGGCTCCATTTTTGATCTCCCTAAACGAGCCTCTTTTTCATGCCTTCATAATCACAATCGTCAATCGATTTCATCAAACCAATTTCATCCCGTCGATTTCATCCAGCGATTCATCCAGTCGATTCAATCCAGCCGATTCATCCGGTCGATATCCTCCATTCGATTTCATCCTGTCGATTTTATCCAGTTAACTCATCAAATCGATTTCATTTAGTTGATTTATCAAATCAATCTCGTCCCTTGTCACTCTACAAGTTTCAACGAGTCTGGGGTATTGTTACTTAATTGATCATTTTTTCAGAAGCCAACAATAAGTTATTTTTATCTCTGCCTTATCGTATTATTCGAGACCTCAGACAACTCAAATGTATCTCCTCCGAACCCTCCTCAAATGATTCAAACCTCAACCGATTCAAGCCTTGTCGGTATCACTAGTCATAAACTCAACGGGCATAACTATCTTCAATGGTCCCAATCCATGATGATGTTTACAAGTGGACGTATCTGATAGTCCAAAGTTCAGAGCATGGAGGGCAGAAAACAATCAAGTTATGGCTTATTTGATCAGTTCAATGACAACTGAAATAGGAGAGAACTTTCTTCTATACACCACTACAAAAGAAATCTGGGATGCTGCACGAGAAACCTTCTCCAGTGGTGAAAACATAGTGAGTTGTTCCATGTAGAGAGTATTCTTCAGCATTTATGTCAAGGAGAAAACTGTAACCACCTATTTCTCAACTCTCACTCGTTACTGGCAACAATTAGACTTGTTTGAATCACATGAATGGAAGTGTTCTGATGATCAAACTTATTTCAAAACCATTGTRGAAACTAAACRCATCTTCAAGTTTCTAATGGGTCTCGACAAGTCTCTTGATGAAGTTCGTGGAAGACTCCTAGGGATGAAACCATTACCAAAATCATTGGAAGTCTTTTCTGAAGTACGTCGAGAGGAAAGTTGTAAGCGAATCATGATGGGACTAACCAATCCATCTTCTTCCCTAGATGTTTCAACTCTTGCAGTAGCCAAGGATCCCGCTCCAAACTCTGTTGCTTTAACTTCCCGAGGAATGTCTTCAAGCTTCAATGATAATCGATCAAGAAAAGGACAACCTTGGTGTGATCATTGCAAAAGGCCTGGTCATCTGAAAGAAGGGTGCTGGAATTGCATGGAAAGCCTCAAATTAGGAACCAAGCCGAGACCATGAGCTTAGGGGAAATACAACAGTTACTGAGCAGTCCCAAGCCCCAAGCCAACAATCAGGTGCCATTTACAAAGGACCAATTGGCATTACTTCAACAGCTCATAGGCAAGGCTAATATCTCATCGTCTGCCAACAATGAAGGCAATCTTGCATTACATGTTGGTGATAGTTCAACTCCTCCATCATGGATAGTTGATTCTAGTGCTTCAAATCATATGATAGGTGACAGATCTCTTTTTTCAAGTTTTTCTCTTGCAATAAGCAGCAAACAGTTCGCATAGTCAATGATACTCGCATAACTGTGGAAGGGGCAGGAACAATTCACCTCTCAAGTACTCTTACTCTATACTCTGTGCTATTTGTTCCTGACCTAGACTGTAACCTTATCTCCTTGAGCAAATTAAATAGTGATCTCTATGTTGAAACTAATTTTTTTTTGCCAACTATAGTGTATTTCAGGACATGAACTCGGGGATGATGATTGGCAATGATGAACTTCGTGAAGGTCTCTATCTTCTCAATGTAAACACTTCATCAACTCCCGATTCTGCAACTAGTAAGATTCATGTCAAGCCTCCGCTAGAGCATGTTCGTAGCCTTAAGTCCGTCTTCCAGTCGAATAAAGAGAGTGCAATTATGTTGTGGCATTCTCGTCTAGGTCATCCTAATTTTTCATATATGAGACATTTGTTTCCATCATTGTTCTTTCACATAAATCAGAACTATTTACATTGTGAAGTATGCCAACTCCCAAAGCACATGTGTAGACAACCTTACAAACCAAGTCACCCCTTCTGATTCATTCATGGTGATATTTGGGGACCAACCAAGATTCCAAATATCATGGGTGCTCGATGGTTTTTGCTGCTGGTTGATGATCATACTCAATTATGTTGGACATTTCTTATGAAGGATAAAAATTGAAACTAGTCCCATATTCCAACATTTTCATGCCATGGTCCAAAACCAGTTTAAAACCAATATTCAAATTCTCAAAACTGACAATGCCAGGGATTTCTTCAATTCAAATCTTGGTCCTTGTCTCAAATCTCATGGAATTGTTAAACAAAGCTCATGCGTGGACACACCACAACAAAATGGTGTGGCCGAACGCAAAAACTGTCACATCCTCGAAATTGCTCGAGCCTTACTCCTTCAAACCCATGTTCCCAAATTTTTTTGGGGCGATGCTGTTCTAATCGCCATGTATCTCATTAATCGAATGCCTTCTTGTGTTCTTACATTCAAATCTCCCTTGCAAAATTTTCATGAAATCAACCCAACCTCCTAACTTTTGTCTCATATCCCACTCAAATTTTTCGGTTGTGTTGCTTTCGTTCATGTTCACCCTCACAATCACAACAAACTTGAAGCTCGCTATGTTAAATGTGTTTCTCTTGGCTACTCAACAAATCAAAAAGGCTATAAATGTTACTCACCGGTAACACAAAAATTCTATAACACTATGGATGTGACATTCTTTGAGCATACACCGTTCTTTCCCAGTTCTTCAATTCAGGGGGAGAATAGCACTTAGGAATCACAAAATTGGGAATGGAC